CTTCAAGGAGTCGAGTACAACAACGAAGGTCAGGGTCGTATTCAACGCGTCGTGCAAGTTGTTATTGGTTGGTCCAGACGTTCAGGAAGATCTTCAAGCACTGGTGCTGAGGTTTCACATTCGCTTCGTTGCTATGGTTGCCGACGTGGAGAAAATGTATCGCCAAATGCTTCATTTCGCCAGCGACCGAAGATTCCTACGAATCCGCTTCAGGATCAAATTTCCACCTGCGAACTGCAGACAGTCACCTACGGTACTGCGTCTGCTCCGTTCTTGGCCACTAGGACTCTGCAACAAATCGCTCTAGATAATGGAGATCAATTTCCAGCTGTAGAATCTGCCATCAAGCTTCGCAAGCAGGCAACAGTGATGCTTAGTGTTGCTGGATTTCCAATCAAGAAGTGGGCATCTAATATTCCTGAGGTTCTTCAGGACGTTCCACCGGAAGATCTGGTGCTCAAACCTCTACACGACCTATAAGATGAGCCAGCAGTTTTAACTCTCGGTCTGGGAACCATCGAACGACGTACTTCGGTTCAAGGTCCAACTACCACTTCCTGCTGCGATGCTGACGAAGCGTAAGGTGATGTCTTACATCGCTCAAATCTTCGACCCGCTTGGTCTCGTGGGTCCTACGATTGTTGTTAACAAACTGTTCATGCAGCGTTTGTGGGCTTGAAGCAGAATGGTGAAGATTACGAATGGGATACTGCACTCCGCCGCAAGCTGCAAGAAGAATGGAAGGATTTCCATGCTACTCTCCATTTATTGAGTAAAGTTCGTGTACCATGATTCGTCTCGCTGCCTAACACTATTAGCATTCAGCTTTACTTCTTCGCCGATGCCTCCAAGGGAGCGTATGGGACCTGTTGTTACGTGCGGACCGAAACTAGAGACAGTGTTTCGATTCAACTTCTGACGGCCAAATCCAAGGTTGCGCCGTTATCCAGTCGGCATGCGATAGCCCGGCTAGAACTCTGCGCTATTATCGACGCAGCTCTACAAGAAGGTGAATGCTGCCCTGAAGATATGTGCCACTGCTTTCTTCTGGACGAATTCCACCACTGTTCTCCAATGGCTACAATCATCGCCTAGCCGTTGGAAAGCATTCGTAGAGAATCGAGTAGCGCAAATCCAGCACGCAAACGACGTGAACTGCTGGAAACACATTGCTGGTTTCGAGAACCCTGCTGATGATATCTCGCGAGGACTGTATCCAGTGGACCTTCTTCAATGCAAGCGCTGGTGGAACGGTCCTGAGTGGCTGTCACGTGCTCCGGAAGCCTGGCCGAAACCAATTCCATCCGAAGAAGAAACGGGAGCGACTGTAGAAGAAGTTCGTAAGGCACCACTCGTTGCGATGACCGTTGTTCAGGTGGACTTCTTCGACGATTTGTTTGCTCGTTACTCTGGTTTCTCCAAGCTTCGTCGTGTTATAGCTGTCTGCTTATGCTACGTTCGTTCTTTACGGGAACGTGCATCGCTTCGCCGTTGCGATCCGGTAAAGTACCCCACCCTCAGCATTTTAAAACCAGTCAATTCCTCCACTGACCACCGTAGACCTTCAACGTGCTGAACTTCGGCTGTGTTGCCTGACAGAACAGCAATCGTTTCCCGAAGAAATTGCCGATTTAGTCAACGGGGAAAGAGTTGCGCCAAGTCTTCCACTTTAAAGTGGTTGAGTCCATTCATCGACCAGGACGATATTCTTCGTGTCGGTGGCCGGTTACGAAACGCACTTTGACTACGTCAAACAACCCGTCGTGCTATCTGCCAGACATCCGCTGTCGACTCTGCTGACTAGTTTCTTTCACTTAAATCTACTGCACGCAGGGCCACAACTCCTGCTAGTAACTCTCCGCCAGAAATTCTGGATTCTGGGTGGTAGAAATCTATCAAAATCCGTCTTCCACCATTGTCACACTTGCTTTCGTAGCAAGCCCACACTAGTTCAGCAGAGCACAGCAGATCTACCGTATGCGTGATAATGTTTGCACCATCATACAAATAAGGTTCCCGTTTGACCTGTGCATACAATGCCTTGGTTTTCTTTGCACGATAAAATGAGGGATTATTGGATTTTCCTATGTTTCGAGGGGTGAATCGATAAGCTTGGGATCGAAGATAGTACCAGAGCTGAGCCAAAAAGTTGAGTACGTTATTTCGGGACCTTCTAGTCTTAGAGTTACCTCTATGGTAGTAGGCTGTGTATGAAAGAAAATGATCTACTTAGTTTGACAGTTGCACCATGACGAAGTGGCAGCGTATTCGTGATTTGTCCCACGCGCAAATGTCGCAAAATCACCGTGGGAGTGTCCCGGTGGACCGTCAAAAGGGTTTTAGACCGAGAAAAGAAAGGACAACTATCCGCAAAGGTGGCCACAGGTCGTCCGAGGTCAGCTCGGGTTCCGAGGGTTATCGCTGTTATCAAAAGGAAGGTTCGGGTGAATCCAGTGCGTTCAATAAGGAAAATGGCAAAGGAATACGGGATCAATGACTTTACGGCACGGAAGATCGTAAAGGAAGATTGCGTGGCGAAGTCGAGAGCCAAGAAAAAAAACGAGTCGAACGGTGCAAGAAAATCTTGATCTTCCTAATCAGCCGTTTCATTTCAAATGACGATTTTTTTTTTTTTTTTTTTTGATCGACCTTCTACGATTATGTTGAAACTTTGCACAGTTGTTTGTTATTGTTCAACATGCCATTTTACATATATGGTTGCCTAGTTTTGTACACGACTAACACTTGAAAAGGGCTCATGCAAAAATGATACGCATAAATAGAAAAACATATTTCTTGCGAACGATTTGTTTGATTGAGAAGGTGTCTTCGAAGAAGTTGCGGACAAGTATTGTGCCTTTCAAGAAAAAATATACACTGTAAAAAATTATATTTTTTTACAAAAAAAAAATCAAAATTATCAAAAAAAAAATTCATTTCGCATAATTTTTTTTTTATTATTTTTTTAATTTTTTTTTATAGTTCAGATAAAGTAATACCTACTGACATTGTGCATTTGCTGGGAAAATCATAAACAAAAAAATATGAATTATTGAAAAATAAGTATTTTCCAAAATACCACCTACAGTAATCGAATATCTTTAAAATAGTGTTAATATTAAAACACATTAAATTTACAACAAAAAAGCTCACAATGCTTAAATTGCCCAAAGTTGTTATTTTCGAGATACTCGTAGGTTAAATTTCTCTTTCGTAGCAGGCTGCAGAGGATTCATTTTAGTATCGGCTCCCGATGTTCCCGAACCACTGATTCGCAAAAAACTGCCTAATGGACCCAGGGAAGACTTCACTATCGATTACCTTAGACCACTTCCAGAGGGACAGCATCTACTTGTTATAATGTAGTACTTTCTACGTATGGCTTTCAGACGACGAACTTCACGCTTTGTAGGTTGATTAACGAATGTCTTTATTGACTTCTATTGACTTATTCTAACTTCCATTTACCTGAGATACTTGAAGCCATTATTTACTTAACTAACCAATCACCGATTATTACCTGATAGATAGGTCCAAATTAATTGAGAGAAAGAGTTATGGTGAGAGATCACTTAGTCAGCATTGTGACACTCCGTGCTAGTTGGAAACAGCCTGCGAGTATTGATACTGTAAGTTGATACTTTTGTTTTCGCGTGATAAATTAAAGACTTTTGCAGGGCAACGAACAATTCCAACGTGCCGATGTAATTGTTCGTTGAACCTTTGGATATTGAATTTAATTTTGAAGAACAAGAACATGCATGATTCGGTGACATGTGAAAATCACATGCTACAATAGTAGATTGCTATAGTCGATACTTGGAAGTATGTGAGATGATGTTTATTGATACAAGAGCAAGATTAACAGTCTAATGAAGGTTTTCAGTCGTTTTGGAATTCCTGCATTGATCAAGGCTGTCAATGGTCCTCAATTTGCCAGTCAAGAGTTTAAGGTTTTCTGTAAGACATACGCGATACGTTAAGTTAACACCATTCCGCATTGGCCGCAGATGAATGGCCAGGTGGAGCGACAAAATCGCTCTATCCTGAAAAGATTGCGGATTGCTCAAGAACTCGGCAAATATTGGAGAGAGGAGCTTCATAAGTACTTGTTGATCTACCATGCAAAGAATCATTCAATCACAGGACAGCCACCATCTACGTTGATGTTTGCAAGGCGAATTAAGAGTAAACTGTTCCAATTCATGCAGATGACGAGGCGGTGATAGATTCCGACAAGCTACAAAGGCAGAAGGGGAAGGAGTATACGGACAAGAAACGCCGAGCTCAACATAGCGAGATTTGTGAAGGCGACCGAGTTTTTGTGAAAAGGATGACAAAGGAGCATAAGCTGTAAGCCGATTATTCACCCGAAGAATTTCTGGTAGTAAAGAAAGTGGGATCTGATGTAAATGTTCGTTCAACAAAATCAGGTATAGAATTCCGACGCAATGTCACCCATCTGAAGAAGATTCCGGATCATACGATGCACCCCGACCCGAGCCGAGACCATTACCAAATCAGACGTCTGGTGATTTGAATCATGATCAGACTTTGCCTACTAATCGAGATATTACGGGCACTCCGAAGGGTGAAGTAGGACCGACACGTTCTAAGCGTTAAAGATCTGAACCAGCTAAGTTTCAGGATTATGTGCCTTATTAACATCAAGAAATTAAGGGTGGGATTGTAGGATCTAACGCTCTGGCACCACTTCTCAAGTAGTGTGACAGGAGCTAACGGAAAGAGAAAGGGATTGATGGAGCGAGGTGGAATGGTATCCGTCGATCGAGAAAAGATACGCTCTGTAAGAAGGGGATAATAAACGTGAATTTCGATTACAATAACTACTGGTTTCTTCATTACTACAGATTCAAACCCAGCCTCCCCCAGCATGGTCCTGCTTTGTAGCTGCGCCTGTACCGACTGAACTAAAGGATTCCTACAAATTCACATCCCTCAAATATTTTAACTCTTTTTTTGCATGTTTTGGATGACAGTTTATGAAGACTGGGGCCAGGCATCCGCTGCTGTGCAATTCATTGTTGGAGGAGATATAGTGAACAAACGTGGCCTCTATCCTTGGCACGTAGCCATTCTGCACAAAGCAAATTATCAAGGCGGAGGTTCACTCATCTCGCAGCAGTTTGTTTTGACAGGTAATTAGAATTCAAGGAGGAATTATTCAATGAACGCTTTAACTGACTCAACTATTCCACAGTGACACACGTGACATATGATCATTTAGGGGAAATGATCGACCCAAAGAGCCTGACTATTAAAGCTGGCATGATTAAATTGACCGATGATGCAAATGCAGATAGTTATAAAGTTGCGGAAACTCTTCGTTACCCTGGATACAACCAGGAAAACCTCATGCACGATATTTGTATGCTTAAGGTGGACGGAAAAGTTTCGTTTGGTAAATATGTAAGACCCATTTTTCTGTGGGACAATAGCGACAAAGTCCTCTCCAAACTGGCTGATGAAAAACATAAGGCAACCGTCATTGGTTTTGGATTAACTGGAGCAGGTAGCAGTAGAAATAACGATTTGAGATCTGCTTCGGTGGCCCCAATCGGATCCGAAGACTGCATTAAAGGTTTCAAAGGTTTCAAAGAAGTATTATGGAAGGGTCGGAACTTCTGTGTCAAAGATGCAGAGGCAACAGTATGCAGAGGAGATAGTGGAAGTGGATTGGTGAACTACGTTCAGCAACGGAAGGCATACTTCCTCCGAGGCTTAGTCAGTCAAGGGCATGCATCTTGCTCGAAGGGTTCTGAAGCAGTATTCACCGATGTGGGGCACTATTTGAAATGGATCGAGAAGACTGCTCTGCCAACCATGTTTAACTTACTGGGGAATCCTACCTGCGACGGTGTATCAAAGAACAAACAGTCACAAGTTTCTCTGCCAGGATTGGTTAATTTGAAGTATTCCTTTAGAAAGTCATTTTTCATCAGCGATTGCCACGGAATATTGATAACGAAGAAACATGTGCTCACTCAAGCCAACTGCGTCGCATCAAACAGCGTTCGAAAATTGTAATAATTGTTTTGATTGTCAAAGTTTTACTTGCTTAAATGATTTTTCTTATTGTAGACACTCGGTTGCCACTGGAAGTTCTGTGATTAATGATTATTCGAAACTTTCTCAACAATACGCCATCGAGACGGTTAGTGTGGAGAAAGAGCTGGGTATAATAACACTCTCTGATGAAGGTAATTTATTGTTAAATTATTGATGAGTGAACCATCATTCAAAAATCTTTATTTAATTTTCCATTCAGTGGCAGAATCCGATAAACCTGTTTGCATTCCAACGCGACCAGAAGAAGGTAAATTGAGTGTTCTGTTTTGGAAGCGGAAACTAAACCATCCAAAGTATGTGCAACAGCTCAGCACCATTGATCAGAGTAAACAAATGGCCAACATTCGCGAAATCTTGAGCGTGAATGTCACCGGTGATACTGGTAATCTGAGACTGGGTAGTGCTCCTCTGTTGTACACCGTTGACGATGAGACCGGAGTACATCTGTATCTGAGGGCTTTGGAGAAGTGCTCCATACAAGGATGCCCCGATGGCCAATCACCAGCATTTGTCGATGTGCTGAAATACAGGCAATGGATAAAGGAAATAGCTGGGCAATATATGAACCATGATTTATTAACTCCCAAATTAGGGGATTAAGTAGTGGTGGGTTAAAGTTGTTAAAAGGTTCAAACGAAATTCCTTTCAATCGTTCATATTAAAAACCGATCATAGTTTATTACGGAATAAAGATAAAAAATCACAAGCACAAAACTGTGCCGTTGAGTTATTTAATGACAATAGTTTCAAGGACTGGGATGTAGGAATCGAAATGTCACAATACACTTGCGTTTTCAACTACAGTTACTCCGGTTTTCAGGAACGTTTTAATACATCTGCTGACCTCGGAGATGGATCACAGCATACGAGATATAGTTGTGAGGTCATCAAGCTCATCAGGAATTTGTTTATGGACTCGGATGGAGACCTGCAGCATTTCAGTGTTCTCCGCTGCACCATGCCATATCACTCAGCACAGCTTTCAAGTTGGAATTAAAAATACGAATTGTAGTGCGCATATGAGTGTAATATCTTGATATTTAGTACAATCAATGTCGTTAATGGTCACACCTACATACACTCCCGAGCATAAGTTTAAGGACACCCCCAAAAAAACATGACAAATTAGTTATGTTCTTACCTCTGTCATGTTACGTCCAATTTTCGTTCTCTTTAGATCATTTGAAAGGTATTGAATGGAACTTCCCTCGTAGGCAAATTGTTCAATATAATTTGCAAATTTTGTGTTCTAAAAGTTCACCCAAAGTTGCAATATTTTTCAAAAATTTCTCTGAAGAATCATGACTGATTTTCTCAGAATTGGGTTGGCCAAATTTTGAAATAAAAGTAGTAGTAGAACACTTAGGTATCGTCCATTAATTATGTTACACTTTTAGGGGGAGTTTTGGAAACTGTGCCGAGCCTTACAAAAAACAATTAAGGTCCATATAAAAAAAATTGACAAAGGGGAGAGGGGGATTTGAAAATGGGCCAAATTTGCGTGACATAATTAATGGACCTTCCCTTATGCTATGCAGGTCGAACTCGATTATCCGGAGTTTCGATTTTTTTTTCACTCCGGATAATCAAATCCTCCGGATATTCGAAACACAAAAAAAAAATCAAATCTGCCCCTCCTCTTAGCTACATCCAATATTGTTAAAATAATCATATTGTATATCAGGCATAACATTTGATAACGGCACAAAAGCATTTGTAAACAAACTTTCTAAGGCCCCTCACACGCGAACCAAAGTACGCCCATGCAAACAAACAACATCATCGGATAGGGGCAACTATCACCATGTTTTGTTGTAAAGGCTGACTAAAAGTAAATTGGTACGCCCCTCGCGCGCTGCTAGCACGCCTCTAGTGATCTTTAACAGTGGATTGTTTACACTTCTATAGAGAACAACTGGTGCAAGTTTGATCAAAGTAGTCGATCGCGTTCAGAAATAACATCAAATGGAACTCGAAAAAATATTGTACACAAACACCTGGAAAATCAGGAGTGGTTCGGTTCCTAGCTGGATAAAGTGCTGAAGATGCCGAAAACAACAGTTTGTCGAGTTCTCAAAACCTACTAGGAAACCCTGAATGTGAAAAGGACTCAGTGGACCTATGAACGACCTGCGCAGCAAGCTGTTGAGGTGCGTTAAAGTCAACCCCGGTCTTTCGATCCGATATGAGGCCAGAAGGTACAACGCCAACTTTCAAACGGTGCGGAAAATCCTTGCCAGTAAACATCCAAACCGGCACATGCAGCAAAATTCCGTGACTAAAAACCGTGCAAGGCTCTTGAACGTCCGTGTTTTGACGAAACACAAGGGTTGCACTTTGATCGATGACGGAACATACGTCAAACTCGATTTTAAGCAGCTTCCCGGTCAAAAGTTTTACATCGCGACTGGAAGATAAAAGTTCATGTTTTCCGACAAGTTAACGAAGAAGGCCATGATTTGGCAAGCGATTTGCAGTTGTGGCCTGAAAATGGAACCATTCGTCACATTTTCGACGATGACATCCCATGTTTGCATCGAAGAATGTCTTTTTTTTGTGTAATTACTTTATTTGTACAGGCTCAGTCGAATAAACTTTACAGAGCCGAGTTATCCTTTGCGTTATACATTATTACTGTCTTATATTTAAAGTTAAAGGAACTGAACCGAGTACTCGCGGTCGTCTCGAGGTTAGTGGAGATTTACAATTTTTTGGATGGGAAAAGGGAAGAAGGAGGTTTTAAAGGGCAAACACGAAATTATTGCGACACCGAAAATGTCATGCCAATTTTCTTATAATGTTTAGAATCAAACCAAAATTTTAGGGTAGTTTTATACATATATTTACTTCAAAAATCAAAATAAAAGTTAATCGATGGAGCCTTGAGTGTAAAATTGAACGCATTTTCGCTTGATGCCCTCCATCAAAGTCTTTACAGTGTCATCCGGTACCAGTTTCTCAGTTTTTTTTTTCCATTTTCTTAACATGTCCTTCTCGTCTTTGACTGTCTTCTTGCTCTTCCGAAGTTCCCGCTTCATTATTGCCCAGTACTGCTCCACCGGGCGCAGCTCCGGACAGTTTGGCGGATTCATGTCCTTTGGAACAAAATGGACATAATTGGCCTCAAACCACTCCAGGACACTTTTAGAATAGTGGCATGATGCCAAATCTGGCCAAAATAGCGGAGCTTCGTCGTGCTGCTGTAAGAACGGCAAAATGCGCTTCTCGAGGCACTCAGATTTGTAGATCTCGCCATTTACTGTGCCCTTTGTCACGAAAGGCTCACTCCTCAATCCGCAAGAGCAGATGGCCTGCCAAATGAGATATTTGGAGGCGAACTTCGACATTTTCTTCTTCTTAAATTTGTCGTCCACATCGAACTTGCTCTTGCCGGTGAAAAACTCCAACCCCGGAGTTTGCTTAAAGTCGGCTTTTATATACGTTTCGTCGTCCATCACACAGCAGCCATATTTTGTCAGCACCTTCTCGTAGAGCTTCCGTGCCCGAGTTTTAGCCGTCGATTGTTGCCGCTCATCGCGGTTTGGGAAGTTCTGTACCTTGTATGTATGTAGTCCAGCTTTTTTCTTTGCATTCTGGACTCAGCTCTGCGACATGCCGATCTTTTTAGCCAAATCACGGCTTGAGACGTTGGGATTTGCTTTAATCATCCGCTTCACCTTTCCCTCCGTCTTTTTGTTCTCCGGTCCCGGTTTTCTTCCAGCTCCTTTGCAGTGGTCCAACGTCAACCGCTCCTGGAACCGCTTCAACACTCTGGAGACGGTTGAATGGTGAATGTTCAACATTTTTCCCAACTGCCGGTGCGACAGGTCAGGAAATTCCAGGTGTTTGGAAAGAATTTGTTCTCTCAACTCGCGTTGGTTCACCTCCATTTTCGTTGAATCGAAAAACACGACTTCGAGTTTGACAGCATGTACACAATACACATCAATGAGAAAGTGTGCAAAATTTGGTTGATTTTTACCCAATGGTAAAAAAGTTATGCCCTGTTGAATGTGTCGCAATAATTACGTGTTCGCCCTTTAAATGTGGTTTACGATACAACTATTTAATTAATCCTAAAGCATGAAATTATTTCTATTCATCTTGAAAACAAACATTGAAAAAAAAAACCCTCCAGATGTACAAAATACAACCTAAACACATCGAAGAATGTCTGAAAAAAAAAAGCGTTTATTGCCGTTCATCTGCAAGCAAAGGGGCAAAGTCACCTTTTTGCCCGATTTGGCCAGCTGCCACTGCTCCAAGGTGGTTCTGGAGTGGTATGCTGCCAATAAGATCGATTTTGTCCGCAAGCTAATGAATCCTCCAAATTCCCCGGAAAATTGAAAATTACTGGGCAATTTCAAAGTAGCGACTTCGACGAAGCGGTGGGGCAGTCAAGGACATTCAGTAAACGCAGGCAAAATGGAAGAAATGCGCTGATTCCGTACCCGTTTCCACTGCGCGCGTGCTGATGGGCTCCATCAAGAGGAAGGTTCGAGATTTCGTTTGAACTGGAGATATGTAACCATCTAATGCTGTAACCACAGATAAACAGACGTAACTCTTTGAAAAAGTTTTTCTTGAAAACATTGTATCTCAAACCATAGGACCTCAGTAACGACATCTCTCGGGCTTCTCGCGGAAAACAAGCTTGCTCGCTAACTCGTAAACAATGTTGCATAAAAGTTCTATAGAATGTATAGAAACGTCAAAGTGATCTGATGCCAGTGCTGCGGCGAGTAGTTCGCAGAACTGATAATATTCAAATCAACCGTTAAATGCGTGAACGAAGATACACAATGAAGTGCTACGTCTGTTTGTCTGTGCTGTAACTTTGAACTTTTAATAAAAGTACTGTAAAGCAATCATTCATTCTTATTGAATCGCGAATTACAGGTCGTATGTGTGTACCAATTTACTTTAACAATGATGCACATGAATTGAAGTTAATTGCTATATCTGATTAATAAATTATCCATACAAATTTAAAATTAATCGTTTGCTTTGCATCCCGGAGGATGATGGTGTATCTAACATATCTCAAAAACTGCCGACGTGGTATGCGTACAGCCCCTAAAGATCATTCTTCTGAAACGTATGAAACTGTTTGAAACGTAAAATCTTAATATTCCCGTAGTTTGGCCGGTTAATGTAATTTTTTTTTATAAGTAGTATCACCTCAAACTGAAATACTACCTTTGAGCTGATGAAACAATGTTTGTTAAAGAATGCTGTACAACTGATGACTACGTGACTACTATTAGGTTTCGAAAAGGAAGCTCTAGGCTTATGTGAAAATATTATAAGTTGAGTTTTGGAAGCATTGGGGGAAATCTTCCATTTTTTAAAATAAGAAGAGAAAATATCTAAACTTTTCTGCAGCCTGCTGCAAATAACACGAAGACTTCTTCATTTAGCGGAAATCCCTGTGTCATCAACGAACAAAGATTTGTGGCAGCCCTGAGGCAAATCAGGGAGGTCTGAAGTGAATATGTTATAGGCACAAGAATGCTACCCTGAGGAACTCCTGCTCTATCAGGTAGTCGATCAGATTTTGAATTTTGATAATTTACCTGCAGAGTTCTGCCTGTTAAATAATTTTGAATTAATTTATAACTAAAAATATAGAGTGGAAAATGAAACCTTTTTATTTTAACAATCAAACCTTCGTGCCGAACACTGTCGAATGCTTTTCTATGTCTAGAAGAGCAACTCCAGTTGAGTTG